TTTATTTTCACATTTGTTATTCATGGGTCTAACACTTGGGCTTGTTTTTTCTTTTTTGCAGCTTCGAACCACATTTGGTTAGTATTACCTTGTGAACTATGTGTCCATATTTATTTTATAGCTCAAACTACAATTAGTTACTTATTATTGTGGATTGTATGTCCATATTTGTTTTCGTGGCATAAGTCATTTTTTATTACTTATACTAGTGAACTATATATTCACGTTTGTTTATTATCCTAGTATGTCCCAAGAAACATGAGCTTTGAGTATTTGGTGATTTTATATATTTCATTGATTTCGATTAGTGATGTTATATTATACTTAGTTATTATGTTTATTTGTTTTCTTGAGACCAAGTGATAATAATATTTTATATGATAATTTAATAGTTCAATATTTTATTTAAGATTATATAAAGCCCCTTAATTCCAAAGTTTATTAAACATTTTATATGAAGATTGTTATTTCTTTAGTTTACATAATCATTTCAAATTTTTTTCTTTTATTCTTGTATATTTATTTATTGTTGGAATGTTATTTACTGAAAAATTATTTTTGGTTTTAGATACCTTGATCAATGCTAAACCTCCTGCTGATCATTGAGGGCTTACTATTGCTAAGTTGGGCAGATAATTATTTTGATAATACCCTTTTTTGATGTATTGATTACATTTATGTGTTATATGATGAAAATTTGTTAGGTGTTTCACATAGGCTATACCTAAGATTTTTATTTTGTTACATATTTTGTCTACTGGCTAGAAAGAGTTAAAATCTTGATTGATCTAGTATTTTGTTAAAATATTGAATTTAAAATTTTTGGGAGGTTCTATTTATAAGGAAGGTTATACTGAAATTTTTACAAAAAACTTGAAACTTTTGTTGTAACACATATATTATGCATTAAGTATATCACAATTTTAGTATAAATTCAAATATGTTTTAGAAATGAAAAGATTTTTTACTTTAAGACTTAGAGGAATCACACACTACACCAATCATCCTCTATTTCTGAGGTGTGACCCTAGCACCATCCTCAAACTGTCTTGCGTTGAGACATCGAATGGTACAAGATTTATGGAAGGTCCAGATCCACTGTTTGGCAGGCACGATATTTCATTGAATTTGAACGTGTGTTTAATTCCTTCCCTCTCTTTGACTTCATCGAATGGTACGAGATTTGTTCATATGTTCTTATCTATATTCATTTTCGTGCCTTTGTTAAACAGCTTGGAGACTTGGTACAACAGAATTTTGATCCTCATAGCTGAAACTTTGAAGAACGCAAAGCTAACTCTAGATGTTCTTTCCATCGGGTACATAACCTAGCTCCTTAAACAAATATGTTGAAGTATGACTTCAAACTTCCTAAATGTCTCAATTTTTTTTTTAAGTGCAGCAGTCAAACGATTACAATCTCGTTATTAACTTCAAGCTTGTTCCAGAGCCAATATAGTTGTTCGTTGTTGTTATTTTTTATTTTTCTAAAAAGGGAGTGTTATCAATTTGAGAAGCTCATAATCACAATCTCGTTATGTTTGGCAGGATGTCTGTTAATGGCTGGAAACTGATGATTCCACTGGCTTTCTTTAATCCCAGGCGGGCCTATGAAACATTCCCAATTTATGTTGCAACCAATAATATATATCGATGCTTTTTTTTGTGTTGCATCTATGCTTACATTCTATAAAGGAAGTAAGTGTTAAGCTCAATTGTGGTGGATAACTTATATTTTATCTTCATATTTACACTACAAAAAAATTGACTTTCGGCAGTGACAAAATGTCGCCACAATGTCACTGAAGAAGCTCTTGTCGCTGATTCTATCTGCAGTAACAATAAAAGTCTCTGCTGAAAGTTAAAAATTGGTGGTGACAAATGTCGCCATAGAAAAGAAAATTTATTGTCGCAAAAAGATAGTCACCGCTGAAAGTTGAGAATAATAATTTTAGTATTGTTCTTTCTTGATTTTTTAAGTGGTTTGCTTCACTTTTGGTAAATTTTTAAGTGACTATCATATATTCATAAGTTCCTTTCGAAAGTTTCACTAACTTGAAAGTTTCACAATAGTAAATTTTAGTTTTATACTAGGAAACAATCTACTCCCAAGTGTGGATCCTATTTTTTCAACTAAAATTAACAATAGTCCCATCATAATAATTTCAGTAGTGTCATTTTTTTTTATTTTCCAAGTCAGGTTAATTTTGTAAACTCACATATATTTTTAATTCCAAGTAAAAATCATGACCATTATTGATATTTTAATAATTCATGGTCCCTAATTATAATTAATGATCTTACGGATCCTCAATTGTCATTTTTCATAAAAAAAATACAATTTTTTTCATTGTTTGAATCCTTATTAAAAATGTTGAGATTATATTTAGAATTGCAAAAAGAAGCCATCCGCATGTTGTAAGCTAGCCCTTGATGGGTATGGGTAGAAAAAGTTAAACATATGAAAATGAAGGAAAGAGAAAATAACACCATTAAAAATGCTTTCTCTTCTCAAAACCAATTAACTAAACTAACCTAAATAATTGTATTGAATCAAACCAAACATTACTTGATAACAAAAATTGATGTAAAATAATATGGCTTGGCTTAATTTTTTACTCTAATTCATTAATATTAAATAATACCTTAACCTTATCTTAAAATAATTTTATTATTTTAAAATTACAATTTAACCATAAAATATATTAAATGAAAGCTCATTATGTTATTTTATATATTCATTATAAAAGTACAATAATACAATAAAATTAATGTCTTAAAAATTTAAATATTATATTAAAAAAATAAAAAATAAATGTTAAAAATATAAAATTAAACTTTCAGTGGTGACTTTTATGTCATCGCCAAAACTTATAACATATTTATTATAACATTAATTTTTAAGAAATTATAATACATTTTAAAATATGATGATTGTCAGCTTTTAGCGGTGACTTCTACGTCACCGCTAAAACCTAGACCTTGGGCGACGACGTACACTGGTCGCCACTGAAAGTCTAACAATCAGTAGCGACTATATATTATCACCGTAGAAAGTCACCCTTTTAGCGGCGACTTTTTTTATCATCGTAGATTGTTCATTTTCAACAGCGACTTTTTAGAGTTATCACTAAAAGTTATTTTTTTTATAGTATATAAAGTTACTATAAGCATGTTTCCAATTTGAGCATAAATTTTATAAATACTTGTATTTTAAGATATGATATCTTCATTTCTTGCAGAAATCAATGTGCATGGAGCCTCAACAGTCAAAGGTTTGTGTCAACTTCTTTACTTACCCTTGGTTTTGTAAACTTGCGTGCCATTATATTTTCCACTTCATCAGTGTAAAGAAACAAAAATTTATGCCGGTGGGAATTATTTTTCATGTTTTATCAAGTTTTATACATGTTCAATGGAAGTCATATTTCTGTACTATATATTGGTCAGTTGTTCCCTGTTTCTTTTATTTAATGTAGAGCTTATCCTTTTGCGAATTTTGGTAGTTTGTTCAAATGTGATTACAGAAATATGTGATAAGATAGTGGAAAGCTTGTATAGCAAACGCAAAAACCAACTTTTATTTAAGGGAAATGTTTGATTAATTAAATAAGAATATTTTTCTGTAGTTCCTTTGCTTTATAGTTGGTTAAGGGTTGACATTCTAATGGCTTCACTTTAAGATGCTTTAGCCTTTACTTGGTGACACTTCCCTTAGTTGTCTACTATGTAAATCCTAGTCGAGCTAGACATTCTAATGTCTACTATGTTCTGTTTCCTCGCTTTTATTTGCAATTAACAGCTATAGAATCATCAAAAGCAAGCCTTTTGTACTTAATGCAATTTTATTACAACTATATAACAAAGTGCTTGGCTTTGGAAGTCTAAAATTGTTTAGAAATTACCCAATCCATGAGCAACTTCGATAAGACGATGCTAGTGTCTTTAACAAGCAGGGAAATCAAAATATCAATTTGTAACAACTCAGGAATTTAAATAAGATTAAAATTGATAATTAATTATTTTGATTTCATTTTTATTAAATTGTGGAGTAGATTTAATAAGAAAGAATCGCGGCTTAGTGATAAAGTCAGAAATAAGGGTCGGGCCTGAAGGGCTGGACTTAGAGGCCCTGTTTAAATAAAGGTTTGAGTTTTGAAAATTAAATATTTTTAAAGTAATCAGACTTGAGAACCTGGCCTGATAAGCCCTATAGAAAAAGACTCGAGCCCGAGCATCCCTTCAAGCCCTATTATATTATTATTAATTTTTTTCTTTGGTGGAATATGCATTTGCAACCAAGAAGGACCTACTCGCTTGAAACTCTAACCCTAAACGCATTACATTATTATTAATTTTAATTTATTCTAAAATTAATTTAATATAATTTAATAAATATCAATGTGCAATAAAAAAATATCTAATATTTTTTATTTTTCTATAATTATAATGTTTGTGTATTTATAAAAAATGAATTGTTTTTTAAACCAAAATTTGAATTTTCTTACTAGACTTCTAAATGTGTGTTGTTTAATTTCTAAAAAATTATGAAGATTTTGATTTTTTAAATTTTAGAATATTTTACTTAATTTATAGTGTTTAATTTAATTTTAATTTTTTTAAGAAAATACTTATGAGCTCAGCCCTGAGCCCCTCAAATAAAGGTTGGATCTCAAAAAATGAATGAAAAATAGGAAATCAGGCTTAAAGGCTCAGGCCTTTATAGGCCAAGCCCACCCGTTTTCTAGCTCTACTTAATGGTTCTTTACTCAACTTCGCAATAACTTGATGTAGACATTAATGCTTATAGTTAAATGATTCTGTCGCAATTTTTATAAGCTGGGCACCAATTTCTTTACGGTGCTAATGGGTAGACAATATAATGAACTTTGCAGAATAATTTCATAGCTCCTCTTATTTCTACTGCAAATTTATTTTGTTTAAACAAGTAACTAGTCTTATAAGACTAGACATCATTAGATCATTCCGAGCAAATATAGTTAAGGATAAAGCATAATAAGAGACCTAAGGCCAAATATAGGAAATATCTTGTAATCCTTGAAGCCTGCCCTCAGGAATAGTTGCTTCCATTCTTTTTCAGATCTTGCTTTTGAATTAAGCTGAGCCGTCAAAATTAGATTGAGCAAGAGCTTTGTTTCTAGCCATTCATGCTGGTCATGCTTTTCATCCAACACCATATCTATGACGATCACTTTTCCTTCATTTCCTTTGCTTGAGATAGCGTCCTTGGCATTTTTAAGTATCTTTATGATATCATCATCACCCCAGTCAAGTAAGACCCACTGTATAAATCAAAATAGTAAGAAAAATGGACAATAAATTTAACATCCTTATAGTACTTCATTTTTGAATTATAACAATATGCAAATTGATAGTGTTCAGCTAACTTGACGGTGCGGAGAGTATGATAAAGCCAACTTTGATGACCTCAAAAATTAAAATTTGACATATTAAAACTCAGACTTTGACATTTTTAAAATATTTTCAGGTAGCATTTAGATTAGTAGATTTTAATTTGGATTTTATATTTAAATCTCACATTTAAAATCCTTTATCTATGAAGTATAAAAAATTTTAAATTCAAAACAATGAAAAGAGGATATGGGAAATGAAAATTGAAAGAGATGAAATCGTTAAAGTTGCTATAATTTCAAATAATCAGGATGTAAGAGATTTGAAATTTTATATATATATATATATAAGACTTGTAATAAAATATGGATTTGGATATGGATTAATCCAAATCCTTAAATTTTTATTAATCCAAATATAAACAGTTTGGCGGACAAATGATAGAAAATAAGTAATTAACATCCATTGAATTGGTCCCATATATACCTTAATCAAAACTGCATCAGCATGGGGAATGAAATTGAGCATGTTTCCACCAACAAAACTTAAATTGGTGGTTCCAGATAAGTTTGAAACAACCTCAGGAAGATCAAGTACTATGCATTTCAACTTTGGGAACGCTTCACAAATAGTCTTAGCAGTGGTCCCATCTCCACCACCAACATCAACAATAGAACCCAATCCATCAAAAACAGATTCTAAGTTTTTGGTCAGTGCCAGTTTCATGAATCTAGAATCACTAGCCATTGCTTCTTGCATAAATGCAAAATCTTCTGGCTTTTGCTTCATCAAGTCATAAGGCCTTACACCAAATATTGCCTCGTCCAGTGTGTTTTCCTCTCGACGAGCCCATTTCTTCAAGTGATGATACAATTCAATCATTGGTGGCTTTACTGCCAGCCCAACCATTGGAGATAAACAATGGTCTGTGTCATTCACAAGAAGCTGTGATGCAGAAGTGAGATCATATGCTTCATCACTCTCTTCTTCTTCATTGTTGCTGCTTTTGATGATAGTGAAGATGCCATTGAGGGCCAGCAAGCGCATGAGCCCTTTCACAAAGGTGGCTTTAGAGGGTGGAATATTGAGAGCTGACACCAACTGAGAAAGAGGGAGGGGTTGGCCATGCTTGTGGATTATGTCTGGTATTTCAAGATCAATGGCACACTTGAGAGATAAAGAAGGTATCCAAAGATACATGACCTTGTACAATAGGGCTTGGCCATTAAACAACTCAGTGATTTTGTTTCCAATTTCATCCATGGATGGAGAGGTTGGAATTGCCAAATGAATTGTTAAGTGTTTCGGTTCTTCGTATCCAACTTGTGGAAGTGTTTATATACAGAGGATTCAGTTCTTTAATTTATTAGGAATTGTGCTTTTGCCAAGTGTAAATACTTATTCATGTAATTAATTTTAAGTGAATTGTTCAGATTTCCTTCATATATACAACCAATTTGCTACTTCTTGTTGGGAATTGTGTTTTTGCCAAGTGTAAAACATGCATCTAAGCTTTTGTTCTTGGAATTATACATTAGCTTCTTCACCTTTTATAAATTAAAAGAGGTGTTCATGTCATTAATTGTTAAATGAACTGCTGATGAGTATTCCATCATGCAATTGGTTCACTTTATTGTTGAATTGTGCTCTTACCAGTTATAAAAGATGAATCTAAACTTTTGTCCACAGTATAAAAAAAAAAAGTATTCATGTCATTAAATATAAGTGCTTTTTCATTAAAACAGTAATAAAGTCTTTTTGAAAGTGGGGAAATATACCATTGCTGTATGTTATCCATGTAATGAAAAAATTAATCATTTGACCCTATATAATTTTGACTTAATTGTAACTAAGTTCCTAAATTTTATTTTATTATAATACGGTCCTTATAATTTTGACTCGAATATAATTTAGTCCTTAAACTTTGACTTAATGCAACTCAACCCCTATAGTTTTAACCATTTAAAATATTAGTCCCTGTATTTTAAAAATAAAATTATAAAGATTAAAATTATTTTCAAATTTAGGGGCTAATATTTTTAATTAATAAATAATATTTATAAATATTATAATGATCAAATTTTAAAATAATTTTAATCTTTATAATTTTATTTTATAAAATATAGGAAGCAATATTTTAAATTACTAAAATTATAAGAAATAAGATACACTAAGTTAAAGTTTAAAGATTGATGACTTACAACTGAATTAAAAGTACAAAAATTAAATGATCAATTTGCCCTTATATCTAATCGATTGTCCTTCTATCTTTGTTTTTTTAAGTTTTTCCATTTTTTCAAAACATGGGTTATGAAAAATTCAACTGCTATTTTAGAGATATATTTATAAATAATAAAAATAATGTTTAAACTATTAAATATTAAATAATATTAAATATTAAAATATTAATATCTTAATAAGATATTATTAAAACAAACATATTTTTTAATTACTTACCAATATCAATACTGGTGATTTGATTAAACTGTAGTTGGTTAAATTGCTTGGTCAAAATTGAACTTTACTTTTTTACATCTAAAAGAAATAACATTCATTTGTCTTTTGTATTTATTTAGAATTTAGATAACTTAATTTATATTAATTTTCTTATATAGTACTTATCTGTAATTTTTTATGTTTTTTTTTTGTAATTTTTTAGTTAACTAATAATCAAAATTAATTTTGATTAATGATAAAAACAATATTGCATTATTTTCAAATCTTGAAGGAGAATGGTGCACTCAAAACAAGTTTAAGGTCCCAAACATAACTAGACCTATAGTTTAAGGGTAAATTTATCCTTTAATTCGTTAATATATCATTGCATAAAATTTCACTAAACTAATTAAAATAAAATTGATATTAAAATTTTATTATATAGTTAATATAAATTTTAAATTTAAATACTTTCTCCATTCTAAAATGTAAATATTTTTTGAAGAGATGAATGTTAAAAAATGTAAGGCATTTTTAATCTTTCAAGGTGTAATTATTATTTTTTTTCAAAAGTGTCCCTATTGATAATAACTTTATATTTATTGTAGGGTGTTAATAGGGATAAATATAAAAAGATAGGGTTAGTTAAAAAGTAGATAACTATTTTATTGAAATGTAAGATTCGATTAAAGATATTTTACATTTTTTAACAGAGGAAGTATATTTTAAACAATGTATAAATATAAAACTTGAAGGAGTTTTAAATAAATATTTTCCACATTAATTTAAAAAAATTATTATTAATAATATTTTTAACCAATTACAAATAATTTAGGACGTAAAAATTAATAATTTAAAGTGAATTAATAATTATGGTTAAAATATTATTTTTAAAAAATAATGGCAATTGTGGCAACTCTTCTTAATGAATGCATAAATGGTGGCTGCCACGCTTCCTTTAACAATGATGTGGCAACCACCACGGTTTTAGACTTTTATCACCGTTTTTACAAGCTATGAGAACACCTTGGCAACTTTTGTTCTCAATGTTAGAACCATGGAAATGAACAAATTTTAACTGGGGAAAATGCCTAATTTTTGTTGTTATGATAGCCTTAAAATATTATGGAATCCTTAATTATAGTAAAACAAACACTTAACTATTTTTCAGTACTCATTTAATAAATTATTTAATTATGAAAGGAAATGTACACATGATAAAAGTTATGGATAATGAAACTTGGCTTTTACCAATAAACAACATCCTAATTCCCTAAACCTCTACATATTTGACCGACATGCACATATACATACATACATATATATATATATATATATATCTAGCTATCACCAAAAGCAAAACTAACTAATATTTGATAGCATATATACTCCCTCTATCCTTATATATAAGAAGTTTTTTAAAACTTTTTTAATCTCTAAATATATAAGAGGTTGTCAGTATACTTTCCTTTTGAAGATGAGTAAAGTTGTTTGATTACTCAAAATTATTATGACAACCCTTATATTTAGGAATAAAATAAATTTATAGAAAATATCTTATGTATAGACATGGAATGAGTATTTTATAATAAATGGACGGTTGTATACTCTTAATAAATTAGAAGGGGAAAAAGAAAGGTGCTCATAAATTTACTTCAAAAGAAGATATTCATTTTTATTTACAATAATTAGGGGTAAAATTGGAATATTGGTATCCTTTTAAGCAGATGACTAACTTTTATTAGTTTGCATAATTTGATTTAAAACATTTTATATATAAGGAGGAATGGAGTATTTGGTAGCCAACATCAAACAAACATGGAGCTGCATTACTATTCCAAGTTTAAAACATCTCGTGCATGAAGCAGTAAGAACAAGGTCAGAAGGAGTTCAAGAACAGTCTAACTCCTTTTTTAATTTTTAGAACAGTTTGACTGTTTGTCATTAAGTTTTTTTTAACAAAAAATTGAATGAAATTGTACTTGACTGGGTAAATAAAGGGGGAATATCAATGAGGGATTGCTGAAATGAGTTAATATTAGATAAAGATTTAGATAGATTGAATACTTGTCAAAACTTGAAATTTCACTTGTTGATAGTTAATGTTTATTTATTACAGTTAACGTCTGATATTGAACTTTTTAGAGGTCTTTCATTGATAGTCTCCCTAAAATAAAAGGATGTTAAAAGATACTATTAATAGCTAACAAAAGTTGGTCATTTACAAGGATTTAGTCTATAATCTATAGTATTGTTAGTTTAAATCATGCTACCAATATGAAAATCTTGTTAGTGAGTGTTGCACTCATTAAACCTGGACACATGCCTTGCTCTTGTTGGGCCTTTAAAACCCAACTCAACTAAATTTTTGTTCACATATAAAAAAAAAGGACACGATTAAAAAAAATAAAAGAAATTGATTTTTGATTGAACTTTAAGGAACAAGCTATGAGTAAGGATCAATTTCACTTTTGCTTCTCATGCAATTAATGGCCCCTATGTAAAATATCAACTCTAAAGCGACAAGTAAACTTATAGACCATGCATTGAAATAATGCTCATTCCAAACTCATCCTTTTACACAAGTTTTCATGTTCAAATGAGTAGATCGTATCGCAAGTGTGTCTACTTGAGAATCCTCACCCCAACGTGACTATCGTACTTCCTCCAAATTCAGTAGCTCCATTTGAATTTCTGAATGATCGACCAACTTGAAAAATATA